TTATCATCATCTGGTAATTTTAACTGAGCCTAGTGATGCTTATTAAGTCAGGTCACTCTTGAAATGCTAATGGTACCTGCTGCATAGCTGGGTTATCAGCAACTAAACTGGTTCCCCCATCAGGCTTTTGGTGTGGAGAGTGGCTTGACATGCAACAATATTAAAAACATGATCTGTCAAAGGACAGATGAACCTTCTTGATGGATGGGCTGTGAATCTAAAGTTACTTTATTCTGTAGCTTCAAAGTTAAAGTATAAAACTGTTAAAGAGATCATAAGAGGATTTTAGAATATATTAACTTGTGTTAGGTTATTTAATGTTGAACTGTACTTGTATCTCCAGGTAAATATTGGTCATGTTTATACTTGAGCCTGTAGGCAAACATTAGTCATCAATACTGAAGTGCACAAGCATTCAGTTGCTCATGCTTCTAAGTAGAGGTAAACATTGCTCAAGTTTATACTATAATCTATATGTAAAAGTTAGTCTATAGGTAAAAGTCATGCTTATACTCTTTAGGTAAACATTAGTCATGTTTATACTTGAGTCTATAGGTAAAAGTTAGTCATGCTTATACTTGAGTCTATTGGTTGTGTTTATGCTTGAGTCTATAAGTAAACTGTATATAGACAGACATTGATCAACCATATCTAGGAGAGCAATCATCCACTTATTGTGCTTATACCTGAGTCTAGAGGTTAATGTTGCTCATGGTTACACTTGAGTCTGGAGATAAATATTGATTGTGCATATACTTGAATCTGAAGGCAAATATTGGTCAATCCATACTCAATCCACAAGCATTCACCTGATGTGTGTCTACTTTGGTGGGAGGCTTTCTTGACTCATTAAATGTGATGCAGTTGGCATATTTTAGGTTCCACTGACAAAGAAAACAGACAAGAAGATTAGTTAAAGAAATGTATAACAGCAAAAAGGAGTTGTAAGAAATGCAATGTGCTTAAATCTTTGTCCTTAACTGCTGTCCTGAAAATCTCTCTAGTTGGTGACTCAAGAATGTATTTGTGAATGAAGAACAATTTCTGTCTTATTGCCATTTATTTTTTTATAGCTTATCAACCTTTTGCAGATTATTTAAGGACAGAAAATATTTTTAGATTGAAAAATTTTTTGAATATAATAATGATTTAGTGATACAAGTCTTACTAATTAACCCATAGCCGGGGGAGAAGAGGTAAATTTATATCTTTTCACATAAGTGAATATAACAAACCCAATTGGAATTGCAACTTGGCTCTCCACTTTCCAATTCCAAGTCACTATCCATTGCACCAGTCACACATCTAAGTTTATACCAGATGATATTCCCAAGTGGTCACACATCCAGGTAATGACTAGACTCAATGTTGCTTAACTCGGTGATCATATGAGAACAGGTGTTTCAATGTTTTGAATATAATAATGATTTAGTGATACATGTTTACTAATTAACCCATAGCTGGGGGAGAAGAGGTGAATTTATACCTTTCCACCTAAGCAATTATAATTAACCAAAAAAGAATTGCAACTTGGCTCTCTGATTTCCAATTCCAAGTCAAACAGCTAAGTTTACAGCATATAATATTCCCAAGTGGTCACACATCCAGGTAATGACCAGACTCAATGTTGCTTAACTTGGTGAGAAACAGTGTTTCAATGTGATATGGCCATAAGCCTTGTTGCCATTTTGTTGCCTACCTGAAGCATATTTGTCATTCATATCCGTTAAAAGAGTCAATAAGAATTATTTTTTGCTAGATGAACAAAACTTTCTTGTGAAAATGATCCCATGAAAAGGAATTTTCAGTAAGCACTGACAATGAAGCTTTCAGAGACATGGAGGTGTTTAACCTGTGAAATTGTCCAGCATAAATTCTAGAGGCAAATAAATCTTCTTTCCTCTGAAGAAATTGTTAGAAGTCCTTGTGGAGGTGGGACAAGGTAATTCAACTATATTTGTTAACCAAAGAATAAGAGTTCAATCTTTGGCATCATAGTTAACAGGCTGCTCATTAAAGTTATCTACAATCAAACAGGCTGATCATTAATGTTATCCACAGTCAATGACTATTATGGTGAGAAGCCTTTGTAATGAGAAACCAAAAATAACAAATACAACTTCTTTCTTTTTTTCATTTCATAAAAGATTTTTCTGTACGATATCGTTACAATGAAGGAAAGGAAAAATGGCAGGTTATGGAGGAGTTAGGAAAAACTTTTCACTATAAATACTGGAATCAATATATCTATAAATAAATATGTATCTCTAAACCAAAAAAAAAATGCATGAATAATTAGGAGTTTAATCTGCCAAAAGTTATGAAAAGTTTAAAAACGTGAGGTCACTATAATAAAAAAAAAATTATTCTAAAATGCAAATATGAAAAAAGACTGCTGTCAAGTGTTTATGTGTGCTGAGGATTTAAGAAAAAACCAAAACAAAAAAAAGACAAAAAATAAGAAAAAACAGTAATCAATAGATTCTCTTAATCAGTGATTTCCAATATGGCTTCTGAATGTGAGACAGGCATCAAATCTTTTGTTTTGTATTTCTTTATCATTTCTCCTTGAAAATGTCTTGACAAACACACAAGTCAATAATTAAGCATCAGAGTTGAATGACTCTGAGAGATTCTTTAAAATCAATGACCACTTCAAACTCATTTTGAGTGACTTTAGCACTTTTGCTTAGAAGTCTGGTCAAAAAATATGTTCTAATAAAACTATTTTTGACCATATTTTAATGGCTCTGTCTGCCAGTTAGTGGCAATGGTGGTCAGTCTTTATTCATTAAGCTTCTTTTTTTTTTTAATTTGTTCTCATGTCAATCATTTGTGGCTTCTCAAAAAACTTATTCTCAATCATTCACTGATTTTTTCTTTCATGCACAACTTTATTCAATTGCTTTCTGCTTCTTTTCTCTCTCTCTTGAGTCTTCTTTCTCTCCTTTCACTTACTTATCTATTTTTATCTTCATTCTGTTTCACTTTTTTTTTATTTCCTGATTGATTCAATTTGTTTTTACTAGACAAGAAGAAAACATTTAAATCAGTCATGGGCAAACTGTGGCCCCAGGGCCACATGCAGCCTGTTTGGCTTTCTGAATAGAACACCAAATTTCATGAGAAAAATAACATTTCTTAAAATTTGGTTTGTTTTGTTTCATTTTCACTTTTTCACTCAGACTCTCTCGTATGCAACCATATACATAAATAATGATGAACAAATATGGTGACAAAGATGAGGACAATAGTCCAAATAATGTAAATAGGGCAAAACAATCTTAACCTCTTCAAATCAAGGGTTAACCATTATCTACCTAAATATCCTCATAGTATCCAACCCTTGCTCTTTTTCCCTATACATCCTTACAATATCCCCATTTAGTAATTCTCTGTCTTGAGTGGCACATAGGTCTTGTATTGGCTGAACAATAGTAAAAAACAAAATTACTTTCCTGTTTTAATGTTTCATGTTCCTAGTGTTTACCAAACAGGAACAACGATTCCAAATGAATAGGCATTGTTTTTCGAATGTAAGTTCCTTCTTGTAATCAAAAACAGGCTTTCATTTAAAAGTTTCTCTTCATTTTCTTTATTGACCATATAAATATCGATTCAAAGTGTCAATAACATGCATTATGAGAAATTATAGTGTGCACTTTGTGACCTTATATATCTTAAAAATGTCATTTTGAAAAACATTTTTTTGCTCTATCGAAGAAAAAAGAGATGACCTTCTAGAAAGAAAAGCAACATAAAATAATTTTACCATTATATCTTACACATTAACTTATCTCTAACATGGTTAATGCTAATGGTAATATTAACCATTCCCTTATAAAGAAACATTCAGCATTCATTGACCATGCAGCCAGTACTGCTGTCAATTGAAATTTATGAAATCTTTCCCTTAAAAATAGGTTTCTCAAATCCAGTAGCTTTTAAAACTCTTTCCAATACTGATGGTGATTTCCTTCCTAACCTTTTGTTGAAAGTAGTGTTGAATGTCAGTATCTTGATTAGGTCATTTAAAGAACCCTACAACTACCAATTAGCTTCTGAATTGTCCAACAGTATAATAACCAAGAAGATTACAATGTGAATTCATGAATTTGGAAGCATGGTAAATGAGGGTTCAATTTTGGGGTCAGGTATTGGACTCAATGGAAACAGGCCTAACAATAATTGAGCAGTACTAAAAATAATCATGACAAGATACCTTTAGATTGAGTCAGTGATAATCTACCAAAGAGGTTTCAGTTTGAAATTCCCTGATGGTTACTCAGACACCTGAAGAAGGCTGGATGGTGCAGCAGTTGAAACAATGTTTTAATAACACCTAAGATGAGGATAATGTTCTAACAGTAAATAATGTAAATAACTTTCTCATTTGTTCTATACTCTGTCCATGGTATTCTCAACATTTATAGGTAGAACCATATCTTGGTTGCTTCAAAACTTTGTCCAGCATTCACTATCATTTAGGAGATTTGAGAAAATCAAAATTATTAAGAATATTGTTTATTTTACTTCATACAATAGGAGTAGATAGATTCACCTATCGTATGCTTCACAATCCTTCCTGGTTTTTTGAACAGGAGTAGAGGTTCATCCCTTGTTTCCTCTTTAGGATTGGGCTTCCAGTTCCTTCTAAAGTCTATTCATCCTATTTTACTGCCATCTTATCACCTGGCTTGAGTTGAATTGATTAAAAAAATATATATTTTTTTTTTATTTTATTATAAAAAATGAAAAACAAAAATGTCCCGATAGATCTTACATAATTTGTTCATTGGGGATTTCTTGTTTTGTTAACAATTTTCAAATAACTGTGATTGTAGATGATGTCTAATTATATATTATTTTTAACATAATCAAAATCATTAAAAAATTGTGTAATTTTTACTTGAATTTTTTAAATGAGAAATTGTCATTATTATACTGGCTCTTATTTATCATTTCAAGTCATTATTGATTACACCATGTGTACATACAAACTTGCAGCACCTGGTATTCCTAAGCAATCACCCATTGAGATACTGACCAAGCTTGACATTGCTTTACTTCAGTGATTATATGGGAACCAATGTTCCAATGTGATATGGCCATAAGCCCAATAAAATAATATTTTTACACCAAAATCTTTTATAGTAGTATTTAAGAGGGAGAGAAATAAGCTTGTGTAAATAATTGGCAGAACAGGGATTAGGAAAGACACCAAAAAGACAAACTTTATTAATTGCTACAATGGAAAGAAAATTGTGGAGAGCCATAAATCATGGGAAACAGTACAGAGAAAAAGAAGATCTTTTTAGAAATTTACTTCTTATAAATGTTTATATTGACTTACACTTTCTTTTTTTTAATCAATATAGACAAGGAAAAATAATGTTTTTGCGGGTGATAAAACATTGGGCTTGTTCAAAAAAATTGGTAATTACTATTTTGATGTCTTCCTCTAACAAATCCCATTCTTGTGGTCATCATTATTTTAGCTTCTCTAACTGCTGCTTTCTGTGTTTCTGATTAGAAATAGAAGGTCTGTTTTGGCTTGAGCAAAATATAAAAAGGCAGATAACCTTTGATGCCAGAATTCTGTTCACAAGATTAGCCAGTTCAAGGGTTAGAATTCTGGCATATATAGTAACTTGTGTTTCTGTAAGATTTGAATTCAGAGTCTGCTGGTTGTGGATTATTATGCATCACAAAACCTTTGAATTGTTCTGTTGTAACAAACCAAAGAGGACAGCATTGTATCAGTTTAGCACATTTTTATCAATTTGAAAACATGTAGTCAAATTGGAAATCAGTCTCAGTGGCCAGCACAATGTTTAGAAATTGATATAAATGTTCACTATTTACATTGCTCAGACTATCATCCACATCATTGTTGCCATATTTATCACAGTGTTTCAGCCTTTGTATGCTTCAGCCTTCTTCATATGGTTGTAAAATGGTTGCTGAAGACATTAGGTTTATAATACCCAGAAATTCATACACAGATGTCCTCAAGGACACATGGTACAGTGGATAAAGGCATTAGTTAGATCCAGTGACAAGACTAAAAAAATGTGAATTCAATACCTGGTTAAGGCGGTGGAGAACTTGGAGAGGAGAATTAACAGGAGATAACTAATAAATGACATCCATTAGACATGGCACATGGAACTAGAACAGTCTTCCCCACCCAGTGAAATAAAGGGTTCAGTTCGACACTCCAACCACCCAAAGAAGGCCAGAGCAACAACCTGCCGAAACGTTGTGATAAATATGGCAACAAAGATGAGGATGATAGTCCGAGCAATGTAAATAGTGTACATATTACCTCATATCAGAAATATAGACAGATACTAGTATAAATGTTTTTAATCATTTCACCCCAAACAAGGCAATAAAGCCACTAAGACACAAGGGGGTTACTGAGTGTTTAGAGAGTATGGGAAAAAAGTAATATTAATGATAGAGAACAATCAGAAAACAAGAATTAAGAAAAAATAGAAGATATCGACACATTGTAGTGAACCACCTTCGTCGTCTCTGTATTCCATTGGTGAGAAGTAAGTTCCACTCGAGTGGAACTGACTGACAAGAGAATGTTTTCCTGATCATTACAATCTTAACCAGTTCAAGTCTAGGGTTAACTGTTATCTTCTCCACATAAACTGTGCCTATTACTCTGTAATCCTCTACTTTGAGTGGCTTCCAGGCCTTGTACAGGGTGAATCTCAGAACAAAAATAAACACTATAAGCAGAGACGTTTGAGAAGATAGTGAACTTCTAATTCTGTCAAAGATTTCAGGTTGAATTTCATGTTTTGTACTTGTGAAGCAGGATTTTTTTTGTTTGGAATTCTAAGATAAATGTCATTAATTATTACATCAATAATTATTCTGACTTGTATCCTAAACAATTCTCTCAGAAATGTAGACTTGAAGCAATTGAGATATTGTTCTATATAACAAATTCTGACAATTTTATTTTACAAAACTTTGCATGCATCCTTGAATTTTTCCACTTTAATCTATGACCAATATTAAAAGCAAAAACCAGAATTCTGCTGAAGGATTTGTGAAGATTATCAAATGTAACAGAGATCTGAGGAAAGTAGGGGAATGAACAGGCTGAAACAGAAAATATATGAGGGTATAAATCCTAATCTAACATCCATAGATAAAAGTGACATATAATTTATCAGTATAAAAAAATTGTTTTTATTTGGAGTGAAAAAAATTACTTTTGTATTATAAAAGCTTAGAATACTGCAGTGAACACTTGGTTAAAATCTGTTCTGAGGGTATGTGCAAGATGGTGCAGCTATGGTGCTCAAATCATCCAAAAAAGTACATATATATCTTTTTTGGCAGTTAGGTACTTTGTCAATTGTGACTTTAAATGGTTCAATAACTAGTCCCAAATAGTTAAATCTCTCTTTTATGTGACATGTTCCTTCATGATGTGGGTAATCATGGCTCTCCACTATTTCTAGGCTCATGTAGCTCTAAGCAACATTTGACTCTTTATCATCATCCCTCTTGGTTCCCAGTGTGCTATTCATTCACACAAACTCTTTTGGTCAATTATGCAATGTTTCCTTTTGCCGCTCCAGATTTCAATATTCCCTGTGAGTGTTAAATTAATTTCTTTCCTCCTCATGTCTTCAAGAAATTTTCCAATTTTGATAGAGTTCAAAAGTACCTTGAAGTCCTTGTTGGAGAAGATTTATTTTCCACACTCTGACCTCTCTCTCACAGCTGGGATGTGGCAAGTCTCTTACTGCTCTATCTCTGCTACCATAAAAAGTGATCAGACAAACTGCATCTCCTGCTTCTGACCTTCAAGATGATCTGCCACACCATTACATAGTGTCATTCCTTCTGTATTCCATTGGCAAGAAGTAAGTTCCACTCAAACAGATTCTTCCTACAAACCACTGCCCTATGGAATGGACTAGCAAGAAGATGTTTCCCTGATCACTACAACCTTAACCTGTTCACATCTAGAGTCAACTGCCATTATCTTGCCCTCCTATCTAAATAAACTACCCCTTAACATAATCTTGAGTGACTCGCAAGCCTTGTACAGGGTGAACTTTTCTGTAAAAAAAAAATTAAAAGAAAAAAAGTCTTTTTCTGATTTTCAGTTTAAGTGCCTCTTAGGCTAAATTTTCCTTAAAACTTTCTTGTTGCTCACATACATATTATATAGTATTCTTAGCATTCAGCTGTAGAACCACATGTCAGTTGCTTCAAGTATCTTATTCATCTACAAGGAAACTGTTCAGCATTCATTTCCATGTAGAAGTACTAGATTGGCTATTAGGTCTCATCATTTTACAGTTGATTTGGCAAAATGTAACCCTAACTTCTATGCCAACAGTTTCTTCTCTGACACTTCTCACTTGTGGAACACCCTTCCAACCTCTTGCTTCCTAGTCAACTTTGATCTTCAAAGATTTAAATGCAATGTCCATCATTATCTTCTCTCTTTTTAATTTCTATCCTTTTATTGTTCCTTCTCCTTAGTAATGTTTTATTTTCCTCATATTCTTTCACATTTGGTAACCTCATGCATATTAGTGACTTTATTGCCTTGCTTAGGATGTAATAATTAAAAAGAAATATGGTTGGGTAGATGTGATATAGCAGTTGAGCACTCTTTTCTTGGTTTATAATGAAATTTTCCTCTCTCTTAATACATTGTTTAATTCCTGGAAGGTATATTTCACTAATAAATATTAGTACAGTTTTAATAGTGAAAGATGCTTTCCAGAAACTAAATAATAATAATATTTGCACACCAAATTCAAGACAAAGTAATAAGGTAACTTTTTCAATCATTGAAACTAGCTGTTGTGCTTCTCTTGACTGGTTGCCTATCACAGCTAGTGAGTCCAGTTTACCCTGCTATTAACCCCTAAATGGAATGAGAAGAAATGGATTAATTCCAAGGTGTTTGTATGAAAACAAATGCAACAAACTCAGCTGGAAATTGAACAAAACATAACAATCCCACTTTCTATGCTGATAACTGCTATATTCTGTGCAGATGTATTTAGTGATTAGAATTTCATAGGAATTAATATTTCTTGAAAAAACATTTACTGACTAAAAAGGAAAAAAAAAGTAACATGAATAATGTAAGAACAGCACATAATATTCATTTCAGAAAGTTTTCAAATACCTTTTAAATTTTGTCTTTTAATTTTTCTAGAGCAAAATTATTCAACTGACATATTGTTATATGCATTATAAACAAGAAATGTCAATTTGGTAATAAAAAGTGGTTGGAAGTCACAGATAAATAACATCTACTTTCCTAATGAGTCAAATAGCCTAATTGTTTTGAATAATTGATGTTTGTCCTTATAATAACAGCTGAGGAATGCTTGAAATGAAAATCAACAATAAAAAAGATTAGGATATAGAAAAAAGAAGAAAAAGTTTTCAACATCATGTGAAGTTGTGAGCAAAGCTTGGTAACAATAAAATCTGGACAATTTTTTTGTATTTCCTCATAAAGTCAGAAGTCATATTTACAAATGTAATTTAGAAGATTTATCAGAATCCTCCATGAGAAAATAGTTAGTCTTCTTTCATGATAAATCATCATAAAGAATTAATTATTTCCAAATAGGAATGCCTTGTAGGTGGTAGCTGAGGTTAAGTGATTTTAGAACATGTCAAACCTTGTTAGGTTATTTGATGTTGAATTTTGTATGGGGTACCTAGCAAGGTTAAACTTATTCAGTAGCAATGGGCTACGAAACTAATGTTCCTAACCGTTATCTCATATCAATTGTAGGTTGGATGCTTTTATGACATGCCAACTCTTGCTAGGTTAGATGATGTTGAATTTTGTATGGGGCACCCAGTGAGGATCAAACTTATTACTCAGTAGTAATGGTCAACTAGATTAACCTTCCTAACCATTATTTCGCATTAATTGTTAGTTGGTTCTTTTTGCGATATGCCAACCCTTGCCGGGTTATATGATGTTGAATTTTGTATGGGGCACCCAGTGAGGATCAAACTTAGTATGCAGTAGAAATGATCAAACAGATTAAACTTCTTAAACATTATCTCGCATAATTTTTTGTCTGATTGTACAGAA